AGCTATCCAGGCAACAACATGGGGAAGCTACAGTGTTAACTTTATAATACAGTTTAAAGTCTTAGATGGACAGTGTGATACAAAAGCTGTTTTTCCAACAGTCTTTTGTTCATACTCTCTGTTTTGGTGGCTCCAGTTTGAGAATTACAAATAGAACAGGGTGGAGGCAAAAGGGAATAATCCAAGTGTCAGGGAGTCTTTACTGTGAATAAAAAAGGGGGGAAAAAAAAGAGACTTCAAAGCAGAAATTAGTTACTAGACCTTGAACCACAGCTATTAGGAGAACTATTACAAGTCTGTCAAGTACCAATTAGTCTACTTTGCAAGAATATTAAGAGCACATATCTTCACAGAGAAGGATCTGAAAAGGGGAAATCAGAGAAACCTTTTAGTTTATGGAGTACTGTCTACTGCATTTCAGTTACTTATTTCCTGTTTATTTTCCACTTGAAAAATCGCATCCCAGAAACATAATGTAATTTTTAAAAACTTGCATTTATGACCATTCCATTTCAAATGTTTTGTTGAAAAAAAAAAACACAAAAAACAAATGGAATGCTGTAAACAGATTTAAGTCAGCCACAAAAAACATTCTGACAGATGTTAGCATCTGTGAACATGGATCTTTCATGACAGTCCTTTCCAATCTGGGCTCTTTTCAAATAAGAAGACCTCAAAAATTTTTTGTTGTTGTTATTTCAATATGCTTTACAGAATTTAAAGTAGGTTTTCCATACCAGAAGGACGACTTTTCAATATATTAATCCATCTACTTGGAATGCTAGCTGCAGCACCTGACACTCAACTTTTAGCTGTGCATGCTGCCAGACAGGTTAACCCATTGACTAGATCTGCATTAAGATAAACAGCAAAGATCACTGGATGAAGGAAAAGAGGGGGAAAAAAGGAAATCCAACTTTGAAATGAATTAGTTTCACAGGATTATCACTTGCCAATAAAACTGTTCTACACAGAATTACGTATGAACAGGCTACTCAGAAACTTGCAACAACTTGCTAGACCACAATGAATTACAGCAACTGACTATCATGTTTCTGGGGGCCGGCTCAAAAAGAGAAATATGATTTTCCTCATTTCTATTTCTTCCAGCCACTCAAAACGAATCCTCAGCTTTGTAAATAGCTTGCTCCCCAAGGGTCCTGCTTGCATGGTGGCAGACCTTTCCACTCCTCTATGATCTGGCAAATGGCAAACAAAACAAAGAGCAAAACCAAAAGAACTATCAATGACTAACGCATAGATGCAGATCACACTAACTTTCAAAGTAAATGTACTGTCTTTTATTCTTGGAATAGAAAGTTATAGCAGGCTGAAGTGCTAATATTCAGGTAGCAAATAGGTCAAAACATGCCAAGAGAAGTGAATGGAAAATTTGTCTAGTCACACACGGATTTTAAAATGTGGATTCACAGCTACAGCTAGCATTGTTTTCTACCAGCAGTGGTTAGCTTTTCGTTCTTGACAACACCCTTTTCTGTCCAGCCTCTTCACCCAAATCTTCTGAGTGCTCTGACCAGTTTAACTGCCTAATAGTTCTAAAAATGCAACTATTTTTGTTACACTGACTAGCACACAACCAGCCCTGTCCTTTAAGGCACAAAACTGACCAGCTCTATTTTTTACTAAACTCACGTGGCCCGCTCAAAACAAACAGATACTGGCAGGAGCAAAATCCAAATTATACACTGCTTTATCCCAGGAACACAAAGTACAAGGCCGACGCAGTGAGTCAGACACCTCAGTGCCAGTGAGCTCCTCAGGTTGACAGGAGTCTCTCTGGGATCCTCCTAAGCCAGGACTTTTTAAAAAAGAGTCAAAATAACTGGGTTTAGACAAACATGTGTTGTGTCATTAGCAAAAGTATCTCTCTCATCAGACGGGGAAAAGGCAGCAAAAAGTATGCCAGGAATGCTGGAAATGGGCAGACAGTCACAGCGAGTCATATTTTCTTCTGGTTCATTTTTTTTTTCCCCCCATGAAACTCCTTCAGCATGAAAAGTCCATTTGCAAGAGCAGCTAATACCGGGGGGAAAGGCAGATGATTTGACAATAATACAGGGAACGTGGGGCCAATTTATGTACAGCAGAAACTGGAGAACTTCTCAGTTTCTGTGATGATTTCTCAGCGTCTTTTGAAAATGCTCTGAATAGTTCAGCTAAACAGACTTTAACCCCTCAGACATATCCGTTTGTTTTTCTGTAAAAGGCCGTATTCTATATATGTATATTTATGAGCAAAAGCTAGATTACTACAGGCAGCACCATAATTTCTATGCTTCTAAGGTGTTAGTTTTAACCTATTAAATGAATCCATTTCCTTCCAATCAAAATACAGATTTCTCCCACAATTTGCCAGTCTCTTACTAGAAACTGGATGCCTTGAACCAAATGCATTACTTCCCCTGCTCCACATTTAATTTCATGCTTCTTTTCAGCTTATTGTGCTTTTTATGCTTCCCTGTGACAACACCATCTAGGTTATTATGAAGTGCTACAAGATAAGATATACAATAAAACAGCCTGTCGACAATACTAATCAATTCACTATTAATGTACCTTGATATCTAATTAGAAACTTTTGTTTATGAAACAATGCATAACCTAACTTATCTTGCCTCTTAATATACAAACCTTGCTTTCATGGAAGTTTTGCTTTACAGGAGGAAGTTAAAAAGAAAAAAAGAGGGCTTCTTAATTACAAAAGAATAAGCCATCAGTTGGTTCAAAGGATTGCCAGAGGCCGTTGGACCCTTTGCTCACTATCAGGTGACAGACAGAGACATTTTTGATAGAGGAGAAAAGTCTCATGTGGATGTTTATCAGCCATGGAAATAGCAGCTGATAAAGTAGTCTGAGGTGCTTTCCATTCCTCAGTCTGTAAAAGAAGTGTTAGCTCTCTTCTTTGCAAAAGAGAAAGTGGGCTGACTTTTTTTTTTTCAGGATCTAAAATGGCCTGACAGCTGTGAACAACAACAAACAAGCTGTTTTCTGAGCTTGGACACCTATACAAATTGAGGAACTTCTAAGAGACCAGTTTAGCAACTGCACCTGAGAATACCCAGCTACAGCATATTCTCAGAAGCAATGAGTTCTCTTTTTTTTTCTTTTAATTTCATGTGTGACATAAGAAGTGCAATCTGAGATTTCTGTTTTCTTTCACCCCATTCCTGTGAAGGGTGTGGGCCTTGGGCAGGTTAACCATCTCAAATTGAGCGATTGCAAGTGTACTTTTGGTTAAAAGTTGAAAATAAAATACAGAGACAGTATTATCATTTGAACTGTGGCAGAATTGATGTTAAAAATCAGCTTGAATAACGGTCTGCCAGCTGCCTTGACTTTTGATCAGATGTGGCCCTCTGGAAGAAAATCTAAATGGAGCAACACTGTCCTCAAAACCTCATATTGATGAGGGGCTGGTAAAGTACTTTTCCTCTCACATTTATAGCAAGAACAAATTCAGTACATAGCAATGACTTCACACAACCAGATGTATCTTTTTTAAGAATAATGCAAGTTAAGTTCAATATAACTCTTATATTTAAAGGAGTTTCTTAAAAATATTGGGGACAAGGCTGTTGATAATTACTTTCCAGTGGGTGATGATCAAGCTTGCATTTTAGGAAGGAACAATCTTCCTCAGTTCCTTCTGGAGAAATTTTATCGATCAATGAGTGCTGTAAACTATACATTGGTTTACAAGGTAGAAAGAATTGAAAGAATTCTATTATTTCTAAAGCTCAGGAAGGACCATTGAGCATGCCACTACCCACATGCAGGGTGTCTTAAAGGAACTCAAATTCTCCAAAACTTTGAAGAAACCCTTCAAAGCCTGCTGCAAATTACATTTGGAGAGTTCTCAAGAGGACCTGCTAAACTAATTGCTCATCTCCATTCAGGCCTTAGAGTCTGCAGGAAGAGGCGTTTCCTAATGTCCTGAAAGGCTGAATTTAGAAGCTTAATATAAGCTCTGCCACTGTAACTCAATTAATATTCCTGAGTGAAAATAAAATCTAATGTATCTTACACTTTAAAATTTTAAGCCAGCATTAACCAAAAGTTAGTGCAAAACCAAAGGAAGAAAATGCAGTAGTAGGCATGGCTATCTCGGACCCTGAGAAAGACTTTGAAATCAAGTCTTTGGTCTCAAACCACGAGGATCATAAAAGGAAAAGAAAAGGATTCAAAGGTTCAGTACTGGTCAGAAAGGAAAACTGTGTGCCATATCTTTTGCATTTAAGAAAACAATATCCAGTTCTTGATTCACTACACTGTAAACAGACCAGTATTGAGATGTAAAGACTAAAACAAAAGAGGTTAAAACCACTGGTCAAAAGCTGCATGTTCCATGGGTTCTGCGTGTAGGAGTTCTGCATTAGTGTTAGTGTTTTGACACCACATCACTTTTTACTGCAGAGGAACTTAACTGCACTGACCTCCAGATTTCCAGAAGTCATCAGGATCTTTTTCCAGTGACTTCACAGTGGAAGTGTACACCTATGTTTCTCTAGTGGCATCTGTGCAAAATCCTCATTTTAGAAAAGCCTTTCATTTCTCTGTCTCTCTGTGTATTTCTCATCTGTTTCAAAAGACGATTCTATGAGGATAAGTTACCAGCAGAGCATACCACGGACTCACATAGGCAAATGGGATGTAACAGCTATTCTGTGAAACTCAAGGAACAGTATAAGATGTTCATCAGTGGTTTTAAATTAACTTCTGATTAATTCATTTTCAATCTTCCTGTCATCTGTTGATGACATAAACTATAGACAGATCCTTCCCTTCTCTGGGCAGAACTACTGTGTCACAGTACACCTCCTAAAAAACTACATCGCTTCCATCAACAGCCTTGTGCCTTGCTGAGTGTGCTTATTCCCTGCCAGCTGACAACTAAGAATGACGTTTCCAAACACCCTCCTCTTTGGTTTCTCATATATCACAGTCTCAACAGAAAAATTCCCATGCATCTTATTACTCACCTAACATTTGGTGGATCTGTATTCATGACGGGTGTTGCACAAAGAGGCTTGTTTCCTTGAATGTGGCTTCTGTAACCTTGTCTTGCAGGCAAACAGTACACCCTCTGGATAACAACTTGTACCTCTGCTTCTCTCCATCCCACTGCTCCCTGGCTTTCCACCATTTCAAGTAGAGAATCATTAACAGCACTCCGTGCTAAGGGATGCCGTTTCAAATCACAGTTGTTATGGATTTGTGGAGCACAAGCAACCTGGTGAAGGAAAACCCATTAACAGAAACATTCCAGGGAACCTTGAAACTATGTAGAGCTAGAGAGGGAAACTTCAGCATGAAAAATCAAGTTGCAAGTGCAAAATCAGTTTCAAAACACTTAATGCTCCAAGAGTAACTTAGAGACTAGTGGTCAGTATTTACTGTGGATTTTTAATGAGCACTCAAGAGAGTTGCATACACAATGTGCTCCTGTATTTGACTGGTGCTCTAGAGCTAACTCAGTACATGAGAGTGACACCAGCAGGAAAACAGAACTGATATTAGGCCTTATGATTCTTCCCCTTGAATTGAGTTTCATTTTTAGTTCTTGGATGTTCTGTTCCTTTCTCTTGTAAAATAAAAAGTAAAATCCACCTTGAATGTTTCTGGACTTTCAGATAAAGTTGTAAATGAACGCTTTACAGACTTACACATTTCAATGGAAAATACCTCAATGTAAAAGAATTAGATGATTAATGAAAAGTAAAATAATTTAAACTACAAACTTTAATTTATTGGTTCACTACTTCCAAAACATATTTTATTAATAAAATCTTCCAAACTTTCAAAATAAATTTTATGAATGCTCCACGTTCCCTTAATATAAATGAGAAATCTTATTAATTTTATTTTTAAAATAAATCTCTCTTGGTAAAAATTGTACGCAAGTGTAGACTAACATGGTCAATATATGTAGGTTCCTTCACAGCATGAGCCAAATTTATACTTTCACAATGAACCCTGTTTTTATAAACAGCTGGGTGCCAAGAAAGATTTTCAGAGTATCACAGACTGTGCCATAAGTATTATACACCAGTAAAGAAGGAGAATTTGCAGTATTTAAAAGTAAACTGTGGTACAACACTAACCTTTGTCTAAAAAGAGCTTGCAATAAAACTTGTCTACTGAATTTTAAATGAAGTGGTTTTGTTTGTTCGAAGCCATGAGAGGAACAAGTCAATTGTTCTGGTTTGCAAATACCACAGTTGAAGCTTTTTAAAAGTTAGAGTTGAAGCAAGAAAGGAGATTAGGATTTACGTAATTTTTTAATTCCCAGGCCTATAATGGGAATTTTATATATACGACAAATACAAAATGTTGACATCCATTGTTCTCCAAACTTGTAGGGCCAAACTTCTCAAATATTAAGAATGATTTGGGCAGCCAACATAAAGCCTTTTCAAGAGTCTTACTTTCAGAAAGCCCTGGCACAGGCTATTAAAAAACCAAATCCCTTAAAATACTTCAGCTTGTACAACCACAGCTAGGGAACTGCAGAGTCAGTAGTCATTTTAATACAAATAAAGTCAAAATAGGAAAGAAAAAAAATGAAGAGGTGGAAAAGGGTGATGATGTTATCAATTGATGCTTTAAAGAAAGGGTAGGATTAATTAGGAAATGATTTAAGAAATATGAGTGGAAAAATTGAATGTTTGTTTAAAATACTATCTTGAGTGAGTTAGAAGAAAGCAGATTTTATTTTTTAGCTATTCAGCTATAAAGAATAAGAGAAAAATCAATGAAAAACCAAGCTACAATTACTATTTAGCACAGTAGTGAGACTTCAGCAAAATAACTTCACAGCAGTTCAGCATTTGGATGGACCAAAAGCCTCTGCTAAGAAAATATTATTAAAATAAACACCGCATATTATTCAGCCTTGGCTAAATGAAAGGGGAAACTGAAAAGGTCAGTAATTTAGAATTTTTGTTTTTCTGACAATTTCCAAACATCTGCTCACCAACTTCTTAACAAGTGCTAAAATTGCAAACCAAATGGACCTTACCCGATTATCTGAAGATTCCTGGTGTAACTCATCACCAAGGTCATCTAGTCTGAAGGTCTGTGCCAAAGATATAATATTCTTCCTGATAAGCATCTTTGTAAGACCACATGTCTTCTCTCTGGCTTCTGAATATTCACTGAGTAGCACCTTCTGACTGAAGTAGGTATTCATGATAACAGGAACATCTGCATTTCTGAGAACCAATTTTTGCCTGGAAAACAATAATTTAAGTGGCATCAAAACCATTACAAGGTAAACCAATGACAAGCACTTTTATAAAACGTGTATTGCATTGTATTTCTCTCCTCTTTTTTTTCTATCATTACCACTAAAAAACTTCAAAGATCCGTTATCAAAACTGTAAATAACTCACTCCATAGAAAGAGAAATTGGATCAGCCCTCTTAGCTTAGGCTTAGCCCTAAGCTCCACAGTTCCTGGAGCATCACTGAACCTAGGGACAGCTTACACCTGGAAGCTGTTGAGCCCCATGAACCCCATCTGGCTTCATACAAATGCTGTTTGGTGTCCCTGTGTTGTCAGCACAGAACCAAGAGCACCAGGAACTCCTGCATACAGTTACTGAGGTAAAAGCTGTGAACAGAAGACTTACAGTCCTGCTCTATGTTAATTCAGAGCACTGGCTCTGCTGGACACAGCCTGGCTCTTGCAGGACATCCCTCTCTGGCGAGTGCTTCCCACTGACCCGAATTCATTCTCACTGCGGCCAACAGCAAACTGCTCCTCCCTCCTCTATTTTCCTAAGTGCAAAATATGTTTTTCTTACGATATGCTGTATATTATCTCGCCTGTGTGTTTGCTGCTGTCATAAATGTGCTCTCCAAGATCCAGTTTTGATTTCTAGTGCCAATGTAAATTCCCTAACAGCTCCACATGTAGCAAGTTCTTGCCTAGCAGATTAAGGTAATGGTTGCAGAATTTCTAAACACACAATAATTTCATGCCAAAGCATGTGTCCACGTTGGGATTTTTTTCTTACACTACTGTCACAGTTGTACATTTAGATGTACATTTTTTATACTCATGGGATACAAAATCTAATGAAGTCAGCTAACAAAAACAACCAATAATCTCATTTTCTACAGACCATCAAAACAGATCAAAATCCACTTTACTGCAATCTATGTTTTTTACTATTAGATCTTTATCACCTGGGAGTAAGACAAGGCTTTCTGATGCTCACCATATTATGAAGCAAATTTCCACATCTATGACACTATCCATCAAAATGCAACCATGCAGAGTTAAAAAGTAAAACAAAACACTCAAAAATATTTATTTTTGATCTCAGTCCCTACAAGATCTTGACCATGGTCTGTTTTATAACAGACTCCTTCATTCATCAGAGAGCAGATAGCTAAATGTATGATTGACGTATTCATATTTTCAAAGGCATAAGAAAAGTTGCAGAAAGTTTCTAAATATAATCCCTGTTATTTTATAATTAGGAAAATAAAGCAATAGCAAGATGATCTCTGCCTTTTAGGAAAAAAGTATACATTTAAAAAAAAGCTTGCAATTTAGAACAATGAATCATACACATAAATTATGGAAAAGATGCGTTACTTTTACGGTGAACATTCACAGAAGTTATGATTTGAAACAGAGAATTCATGAAAAGTTACAGCATAAAACTAAGTCTTGAACTTCACCACAAAGAAGCCTTACTGCCATCTGAAAACTCTCCAGATTTTGGAGAGCAGCAGTACGTCCCCCTCAGGGCACCGAGTCCCTTGCCTCCAGATCAATCTCCTAACAAAGGTCCCAGTTAAGAGCACGACAGTAGCTCCCAAGGCTGCCAAATTGACATTGCCTGATAATTTCTACATTACATGATTAAAACTGAAGAATTAACTGGGTCAGCATACTGAGACATCTCAGATCTTATGAAATTTTTAACCTTATTTTTCCAGAGAACAAAAACATATATAAAATTTACTACAGATCTCAGAACAGTTTGGGCTGTCTTTATATGCAGATGTGTAATGAAAATTTTAGCACCTACTTTCTTGAGACGTCTGTGTTCAGACCCAAAGTAAACAGGAAATCGCTCTGAACACGAGACCATTACGTCACTAATGTCAGAAGAATGTTTGCTTGATCTAAATCATCTCATTCTCTAAAAAAAATACTGACGTTAGTAGCAAATCATTTGCAGAAACTTTGAGGTTTATGGTTTTATTTTTATTTTCCTGTCCAGATACGTGATCAGGTTTTTTTCATTCTTTTTAAGGCAGGTAGGTTTTACTGATACCCAAATTACGTGTACCATGGTTTTGCTATGCCTATGTACTCCATACTTTGAGGACTTTCATAACCACCAAGAGCTTTCTTGGTAAAGTACTCATTATTTCATCATATGTTTAAATGGCCAATGCATAAACTAAAGGCTATTTGGCATTTCCACAAAGCAAAAACAGGATGTATATACACTTCCAGGAGAAGCTCCCTATTTCTTATCTGCAAGTAGTTCACTAAAAACACTCTCTGTAAGAAATAATTTGTTTTAGACCTGCATAGGTGTCCGTAGACTTAGCAGTAACTTTTCTGCTAGGATAGAGGAATATTGACGTAATTCTACTTAAATCTTCCCTATTTCTTAGTGGACAGACTCCTCAAACTGAAAAGAACCAGCAATAAATAGATATATTAACTAAATTAAAAGAAAGAAAAAAAGAAAAAAGTTTGTAATAAACTCACTATTTTGTGTACAGGTGGATGGCTAAATGGAAGTATTTCTTTAATATAAAATGTACACACATATATATATATTACAATGTATATTTTACATATAATATATGGAATAGAAGTATTGTTTATTTATATTAGCAATTTTTATACATATATATAAAAATATATTTTATATATAAAATCTCTGCATTGCCACTGTATATTGCTCATATTGTTCTTTTTACAATAAATGTAATCACGTCAGAGACAGTTTTGTACCTGAATTCTTTCTGTCTGCTTGAAAGGTACATACCAGAGCAAAGAAAGCCTATCATGCTGGACCAGTTAGGAAAAAAACCCACTTATCCAAGCAATCCCTGCATGCGTTGTCCCTGAGACATCATAACTGATCCCCCCAAATTTCTGGATCTGTTCCACCTGAATATTCTCTACAGACAGAAGTAACTCTACTATAAGATACAGAATACACTCTGTAGCATTCTCTTAAATACACTCTGTAGCATTCTCTTAACAGATAAAGTGTTAAGTGGACAGTTCAAGTCTTCTTAAATTCTTCAAGACCTCTCTTAAATTGCTTCTTTTCTATCTGTTTCAATATATTTTAAAAGCTTTTTTCAAAGAAAATAGATTTTAAAAAAATGAAGCTCACTACAGATTATAAAACCCCCAGAAAGCTTCTCCTGTACTCTGTGATTTTTCTCTTACTCAGCAAATTACATTTAAAAGTTGGATTAGCAGTTGACTTCCTTAATAACTGCCTTTAGACCTTTGCAATGACCTGAAGTACAGACTGGGAACCCTTTATACTACAGGGCATTTTTTTCCTGGTATGTAGACAATCAGCAATTGCCGTAACTGGTCACATGCTAAAGGAACATGAGGCAATAATGTTATTTTTTTTATTTTCCAGCAGCAGTTTGCTTCTCTGTCCAAGAATGTAGCTTGCTTTTTCTCTTCCTCCCTCCTACAATGAAATGTCTCTCTGGCCAAGTGGAAGCAGGACATTTCCTTGTCTACTTCTACGTTAATCGTGGGATTTGGGATACGAAACGCTACAGAACGTACAGCATGGCATGGGGTGAAGTAGCTGGTGTTTCGACTTGATGCAGGGTCTTAATCCTGCTGCCAAGCAGTTGTCAGGTCTGCACTGTGGTCTGCCCTGCACAGCCCATCCACAGCCAGCGAGGAGTCGTGACTCTATGGCAGCAGCGAGCTCACAAACCACACGCTTCCGCTCAGTTCTGCTGACATCAAACGGCGCTGCTGGTTCATGAACTCGAGAAGACTCGGGATCGCTTTAAATTAGAGAACATATTTTTTTGTTCACTCTCTCTGGGTGTTTTATTAGGCTTTTGTTTTTCTGTTTGTTTTTTTTTTTTTCCCCCTCATGTAAAAGGCCTAGAGCATTTTTTTCGAAGAGTACACTGCATTAACTGAACACTCTTAGCATTTCGGTGACCTACAACATGCACTGTAATTACAAAACAGGCTATTTTCAAGTCTCACAAGTCTCAAGAACCACAGTTTCTGCGTAAAGAAGGTTCAACACCCACCAACTAGCACAGCACTAGTACATGTAGCATAAGAGCATGTGCCAGAGCCTTACACTGCCGCCCAGAAGCATGAGGAATCATACCCCCATATAGGGGGACAGGAATAACATAGAGGGCTCATCTCTGATTTGCTAGGAATTGCTTGTTTTATCCAGTGTGGAGGAAGTTGTTCATGCTGCATCTGGCTTGGGGTTGTGGGACAATTGCAGTGTTCTATCTGTGAAAAACTGTGACATGTGCAAAGAATGCCTGAGTATCAAGCTAATAATCAAAAAAACCCAAACAGATCTCTGCCCACCTATCACCCAAGGGCAGTAACTATCTACTCAGTAGATAGCCCAAATCAAAAAGCCATTTGGAACAGATCTATCTTCTGTCATGCCCAGAGATTGCCCAAACACAGAATCTTTATCCATGAGTGAGTAATCTCACTACTTGTATGTAAGGCTCCATCCGTGTCATTTAGCATCGCTTAAATGGTCTGTATGGACACTGTGATTCTGACCTCACACTTTCATAACACAAATCTTCTTGCTGTGCCACAACCTCAAAGACAGAAAAACAAAAAAATCAGCTGATATCTCTTTCTTTGAAATTATCTTATTCAAAGCAACAGATTATTATGGTACAAAGTCTCAAGCCTGATTTCTCCATGAAGAAATAGTATTACTAACCATCCAGATCAACGTCCAAAATCATATATGTCAAACATACAATTCTCAACTGTGTCAGGTTTTCAAAGAAATGTAGCTTTGGCTCCTCAGAATGGCTGTTCTGCAGAAGATGTAACAATAACAAGCTACTCAAGCTATGTCTAAAATTTCTTCTTTTAAAGTATAACGCATTTTATTTGTGAATAGAACGGCTAGATATTTGCTTTGTTCCCCTACTGCAAAAATACTTTGCCTGAGGACTCATTCCATGAATACAAGGAACTAAGAAAAGAA